CCCAACTGCACCGAAAACTCTCTAATGAGAAGTTTGACTGTATTAAATACATGATACATGTTGCATTTTGATATCCCCATGGGGGCAGAATTCAACCAATCTACTCTTTTTCTATAATTGACATTTGTGGTTAGTGAAAAAAGCACAAGTACAGAACAACTGAAATACTGCCACTTTTTCCTTTAAAAACATGAATACAAATCAACTGTGGTGAGTAGATGAATAACATTAAACACTGAATCATCTTTCCTTTTCAATCAAATGCATACAGACTAATTATTTTTTTCAAGATATTATTACCTTCACCTTCAAAAACACCGACTCATATATCATTTCTTAAAATGCTGTTTCTAGTGCAACTGAACCATGGCAGAGGACATAAAGTACTATCAAATTATAAAAAGAACACATTAGTGACAGGAGACTGAGGGGTATTTTGGGCCTCAGGGCTTCTCATCTGTCATCATAACATGGCCTCAAGTACAAGGTCAGTGTACAGATTACAGACTTCATGGCTACTTTGTAGGCACATTTAGACTTGAGGATAAACCTTAACTGGTTCAGGTTTACATGACATCCAACAAATGGCCAAATGGGAATTGCCAATGATTTAATATCTCATTGGATTTTACTGATGGCAACTAAATATATCAATGAATGTGAATAAACCCTCTCATAATTCTTTACCAGAGGGCTGTTGAAAACAGGATAAGAAAGTTTCCATTTAATTCCTAAATGGACACTCTTATTGGTTTTGTGCACAGGAAAGGGGAAGCAAAAAGTACATGTTCAGAGTAGATCTCTAAATGGTTCCTCAAAATCATGAACTATTTCTAAATGGACTTTTTTGTTGGCAGGAGAAACTTTTGTTGCCTTACTTTGGTCCTTCTTCTTTTACTTTGGCTGCTTCTGCTGGCTTTTTCACAGCTGAAAATAAATAGCACAAAAATTCAATCTTGTGGTAAAAGTCTTATTAAGTATTTTGCTCTTGTACCAAATTGATAAATCTTCCATGATAATTTAAAAATTCTACTTCCATGCTACATATACAATGAAAAATTGTCACACACAAACACTTACTCTCTACAGTGAGTTTAGCACTGGAGGCAGCTATTCCTGCATCTGACTGTGCTTTGCATGTATAATGACCCTCGTCTGTTACTTGTGCATTGCGAATCACCAGTGAATACAAGCCTCCAGAACCAGCGATTATTTCATACTTGTTATCTGGAGTCAGCTTTGTGCTGCCTTTGTACCTGTGGATAGAAAAATGATACATCTTTTATCTATTCAATCAGTATATTAACTTATAAAAAGATGATTTTTGTTCATTTTTCATTTTAAAGAGTTGATGTTTAAAATCATTGCTTTCAATAAGCCTGGTGTTGGTTTTATAGATAGCTTTAGCAAACACATCTCTCTCACTTTTTAAATATTATCATACATCGCTAGTTATGAAACTTTCCATCAATGTGTGTGTATAACCTTTCCTGTAATCTTTTTCTTGATTAAACAATAAAGGAGACTACAATGAACAAGGCAGCAAAGCTGTCAAATGTACAGACAAAAAGAAGACAATAACAATGCACAAAATAGGCTACTGTCAATTCTGATGCAAAAGTACATTATGCTTAACTGCAAATTCAACATCAAATTATAATTATGCTCAACAGGTAATACCAATGTAAGTAAAATGTGTAACAAGCATAAGGATTCAGGCCCATGGGAGTTCACGTTCACACTTTGAAAATGCCAGAATGAGAAAAATGAAAATTTCACACAAAACTGCATAAATTCAATAATAAATGATAACACAGTTGAGCTGGCTTTCTAATTTTGAACTGCATGTCAATCATAAAAATCATACTTGTAA